GACTCTAGAAAGAGTAACAGAGAAGAGCAACAAAGATGAATAGGGGACTGGAGGCTAAAACATATGAAGAACGGTTGCAGGAACTGGGTACGTCTAGTTTATTTTTTTTTTTTAAGTGTTTTTAAGTGTTTTGTTTATTGTTTTTAATTAATGGGGCCAAATTTATATATGTAATTTTAACTGTATTTTAATATTTGTATTTGATGTTTTTACTTGGCTGTTCACCGCCCTGAGTCCTCAGGGAGAAGGGCGGTATACAAATTCAAAATAAAATAAAATAAAATAAAAATAAAATAAAATAAAATAAATGATAGCAGTCTTCCAATATCTCAGGGGCTGCCACAGAGAAGAGGGGGTCAGCTTATTCTCCAAAGCACCTGAGGGTAGGACAAGAAGCAATGGGTGGAAACTAACCAAGGAGAGAAGCAACTTAGAACTAAGGAGAAATTTTCCTGACAGTGGAGAACAATTAACCAGTGGAACAACTTGCCTCCAGAAGTTGTTAATGCTCCAACACTGGAAGTTTTTAAGAAGAGGTTGGGCAACCATTTGCCTGAAATGGTGTAGGGTTTCCTGCCTAAGCAAGGGGTTGGACTAGAAGACCTCCAATATCCCTGCCAACTCTGTTATTCTATTCCTGTGATGGAGAACCTATGGCACCCATGCCACAGGTGGCACGTGGAGCAATGTCGCCTGGCACGCCAGCTTAGCTATGCGTGCATAAACGCGTCAGCCAGCTAATTTTTGGGCTTTCTGGGCCCACCGGAAGTAAAAACAGGCTGTTTCCTGCCTCCGGAGGGCCTGGGAGTGGGGTGGGGAAGGCTGTTTTCGCGCCCTCCCCAGATGCATAGAGAGATCTGGAGCCAGGTGAGACAGAAAAAAAACGGCCTACCGGGACATCGCGTGCCAGAGCAGGGAGAGTGGGGGTCGCGCACACATACACGGGGTGGGGTGCATAAAATTATGGGTGTGGGCACGCTCGCGCGCGAACCTCCCCCCACCCACCCCTTCCCGGCACGCGATGGCAAAAAGGTTAGCCATCTCTGTTCTATTCTATGACAAATAAAGCTTGCAGATAACTTTTTGACTTTTTTTTTTGTCCCCCAAAGTGAAGTCCCAACTCTGCAGAAGGTCATCTAAAAAGGACGTGTTTCTCGTCGTTTTTTCTGGCTCCGAAGCTTTTAATAGAATCCAAAAAAAAAAAAGCTTTATACATGCAAGAGAATTTCTAACGGTTGCCTTCTCAGGAAACGGCGATGCCTCCCGTAGGGCAACAGGTTGATGTTTGAAACCCTCAAATTTCCTTTCTCTTTTATCTCCAATGATTCATCATCTTAATGGAAACCACCTCGTGGGGGGTTTCGATAAAACGGAGGTCAGGAGAGTGTGGAAGAGAATCGGGGGGGGTGCAACTAAATTTGGGGTGGGCATTCAAGGAGATTGTACGAGAGTGGGTGTAGTGGTGGAGCTCTCGCCTCACAATCAGGAGGCCTTGAGTTCGATCCTAGGTAGAGGCAGATATTTCTCTCTCCGGGCACAATGAGAATATATGTCAATTTTAAATTATTTTAATTGATGTTTGTTTTGTGCTTTTAATAGGCTGTACACCGTCCTGAGTCCTTCGGGAGAAGGGCGGTATAGAAATAAAATTATTCTTATTCTTATATCTGCCGATTTTATTATTATTATTATTATTATTATTATTATTATTATTATTTATTGGTTAATCTTTAGTGAGATTCACAGCCTTTGAGGTTGGTTAATAGCTCAGCAGCTCGAGTCCTAACCAAGGACCTAGGAACTGTTAAGGTATTATTATTATTATTATTATTATTATTATTATTATTATTATTATTATTATTATTATTATTATTATATAAAGAGGGGAAAAAACCCTGCTATATAATTAACTGATTTTTATTAAGATGTTGGAGTGTATTATCTGAAATAAGACCTAAGGAAATGTAATGGTATAAAATGTTTTGGTTTATTATTTTGCTGTGAAATGAATGATGGTAATATTAGGAATTATGTTCAATGAGATTTTAAATTTAAGGGGTTTAAGACAGAGAGGAAGGGAAAAATGGAATTTGGTTAAGATTAGAGATAGGATGAATGGGTAATATTGATTTTAAAAAAAAGAAGAAGAAAAAGAAAAGAAAAATAGAGGGAATAAATACTATGGCAAAAAGGGAATATATAAACTGTGTTGAAATGACTAAAAATTGTTTAAATTTGTGAACCGGCCAATACTCTGTTCAGAAAAAAATATATTGTATGTGTCTCTGTCTGTGTGTCTAAAAAAAATTTAAAAACGCTTTAAAAAAAAGAATGTATCTGCCGAACAAAACTCCGCCTTGGCAACAGGAAGAGCATCCGGCCAGTAAAACACTCTGCTAGCTCCATTCAGTTGCCCGGACTCCACCCCGCCAGGGATGATGGGGTCGTTAAAAGGTGATGATGATTGGAAGAAGGTTGTATAGCAGGGACAAAGACACAACAGGACAGTCTTGGGTGAGACAATATGTGAAGAAGAATGTAGGAGAGGAAACAATGAGCTGTCTTTTCATGGGATGACACGATCGCACTGTTCTTAATTTTGATGTGCAGGTAGACCTTACAATTTTCCGTTTAGTGACTGTTCGAAGTTACAATGGAACTGAAAAAATGATTTGTGACCGTTTTTCACACTTATGACCGTCGCCGCATCACCCCACGGTCACGTGATCAAAATTTGGTCGTTTGGCCACTGGCTCATATTTATGATGGTCGCAGTGTCCAGAGGTCACGTGATTCCCTTTCGCGACCAGCAAAGTCCACCAGGAAGCCAGAGTCACTTAATAACCCGTGTGACTAATTTACCAATTGCGGTGATTCGCTTAACAATGGTGGCAAGAAAAGTCATAAAATGGGACAGAACGCACTTCAGAAATGCTTCGCTTAGCAATAGAAATTTCGGGCTCAATTGTGGTCGTAGGTTGAGGACTGCCAATAGTAGCATATCTTATTCTAATAATTCGAAAGCAACCAGCGCCTGCATAAGCAGAAAACAGGAACTCCACCAGCAATGCTCTCTCTATCTCTCTGTCTTTCTCTCTCTCTCTCTTTCTTTCTTTCTTTCTCTTTTTCTCTCTCTCTCACTTTCTCTCTCTCTTTCTCTCTCTTTTTGTCACTTTCTCTATCTCTTTTTCTCTCTTTCTCTTTTTCTCTCTCTCTTTTGCTTTCTCTTTTTCTCTCACTTTCTCTCTCTCTCTTTCTCTTTCTTTCTCGCTCTCTTTCTCTTTCTCTCTTTCTCTTTCTCTTTTTCTCTTACTTTCCTCTCTCACTTTCTCTCTCTCTTTCTCTCTCTTTTTGTCGCTTTCTCTATCTCTTTTTCTCTCTTTCTCTCTTTCTCTCTCTCTCTTTTGCTTTCTCTTTTTCTCTCACTTTCTCTCTCTTTCTCTTTCTTTCTCTCTCTCTTTCTCTTTCTCTCTTTCTCTTTCTCCTTTTCTCTCACTTTCTTCTCTCACTTTCTCTCTCTCTCTCTCTCTCTCTTTCTCTTTCTCTTTTTCTCTCACTTTCTTCCCTCACTTTCTCTCTCACTTTCTTTCTCTTCTCTCTCTTTTTCTTTCTCTCTTCTTTCTTTCTCTCTCTCTTTCTCTCTTTCTCTTTCTCTCTCACTCTCTCATTTTCTCTCTCTTTCTCTCTTTCTCTTTTTGTTTTTCTCTCTTCTCTTTCTCTTTTTCTCTCTATCTCTCACTTTCTCTCTCTCTCTCTTTGTCTCTTTCTCTATCTTTTTCTCTCTTTCTCTCTCTTTCTCTCTCTATTTCTTTTTCTCTCTCTTTCTTTCTCATTTTCTCTCTCTCACTTTCTTTTCTCTCACTTTCTCTCTCTCTTTCTCTTTCTCTTTCTTTCTCTCTCATTTCCTCTCTTTCTCTCTCTCTTTCACTCTCTTTTTGTCTCTCTCTCTCTCTTTCTTTCTCTTTCTTTCTTTCTCATTTTCTCTCTCTTTCTCTCTCTCTTTCACTCTCTTTCTCTCTCTTTCTTTCTCTCTCTCTTTTTCTCTTTCTCACTTTCTCTCTCTCTGTGCATGTTTATATCTCAAATTAAGGCATGGAAAGCTTGGTTTCTCAAGTCAGGACATTAGTGGGAGGAAATGTCCTGCCACACTCAGATAACATCAAAGACGAAAATGTTTGCCCTGTGAGACTTTTAGGCGCAAACTTTCTTTTTTTGACATGGCCTGTTTGCTACACAGCTACCGCCTGCGCCCTGCATCGGAGTCCACTTCCTTCCACCCAGTCTTTGCCGTGAGCCCAGGTTCATAGCTTCGCTGTTCCTTTCAAACCACGTCATCAACGCTTATCAACATCATTTATTAATTCAATTTGTATCCCTACATCTCTCTCCCCCCCCCCCCAAAGGTTAAAAACAAAGCAACCAGAAGATAATCCTTGATTTACAATCATTCATTTAGGGACCATTCAACAGCACTGGGGAAAAAAGGGACTTGTGACCAGGATTCACACTTATGACCGTTGCAGTATCCCCATGGCTTCAGGATCAAAATTCAAAGGTTCCGCAGGTGGCACGTATTCCTGACCGTTGCACTGTCCTGGTGGGGGGGCTTTGGGGGGTTGGGGGGGTCACGCAATCTCTATTGGTAACCTTCCCAGCCGGCTTCCGGCAACCAATGGGAGAAGCCAAATTCGCTTAACGACCGCACGACTCGCTTAACCATGGCGGCGATTCGCTTAACAACGGTGGGCCAAAAAAAAAAAAAGGAGGTGATAAAATGGGACGGAACTCATTTAACCCTGGAACTTTGGGGCTCTGTTGTCGTTGTAAAGTGAGGACTAACAGTTCCTGGTTTCGCAGACCTGGGCGAGAAGGATAAACCGATTCCACCTGCTTCGGTTGGAAAACGCCCACTAAGATTCAGAGATGTTTCCCACCAGGTTGGCAAATTGGGACTTGGGGATGCTACCCCGTAAGCTTCTCATCTGGCTGCCCCGACTTACCTGGAGCGGCTGAGAAAGGCACTCATAAATCCAGGCAAAGTGGGGAGATCCAACAATGGTAACAGGAAACACTTCCCAGCAGGATCCTCCTCCTCCCTGGAGTTAAATCCCAGGCAGAGAGGAGAGGATTCCCATCTGGGCAGGAACAAAGAGATCCCTGGAGGGTAGAGAGTTTGCAGTCCGTAAACAATCCTGAAAGGAATCTGCTAAAGCCGCTGGTGCTTGGGAGAGAGAAGGGATCGCTTAACATCCAAGCAGAGATCTACCTTTCACAGCCAAGAAAAACCTTCACGCGTAGAAGCTTGGATTAACCCTCGGCTGACTGTGGGAAGCAAGGCAGTGCAGCTTGCCTCCTCCCTTCTAGCCACTGTGTGTGTGTGTATGTGTGATAGAGAGAGAGGGAGAGAGAGAGTGGGAGAGAGGGAGAGGGAGAAGTGGGAGAAAGAGTGGGAAAGAGGGAGAGAGGGAGAGAGGAAGGGAGAGGGGGAGAGAGAGGGAGAGAGTGGGAGAGAGGGAGAGGGAGAGAGAGGAGGAAAGAGAAATAGAGGAGAGGAGAGAGAGGGAGAGAGGAAGGGAGAGGGAGAGAGAGGAGAAGGTGTGGGAGAGAGGGAGAGAGAGAGAAATAGAGAGGGGGAGAGGAGGGGAGAGAGAGGGGGAAGAGGGAGAAGAAGTGGGAGAGAGGGAGAGAGAAATAGAGATGGGGAGACAGAGGGAGAGAGAGAGAGGGAGAGGGAGAGAGGGGGGGAGAGAGAAATAGAGAGGAGGAGAGGAGGAGAGGGAGAAGTGGGAGAAGGAGTGGGGGAGAGGGAGAGAGGGAGAGAGGGAGAGAGGAAGGGAGAGGGGGAGAGGGAGGGAGAGAGAGGGAAAAGGAGTGGGAGAGAGGGAGAGGGGGAGAGGGGGAAAGAGAGAGAGGGGGAGAGAGAAATAGAGAGGGGGAGAGGGGGAGAGAGGGGGAGAGGGAGAAGGAGTGGTAGAGAGGGAGAGAAAGAAATAGAGATGGGGAGAGTGGGGAGAGAGAGAGGAGGGGAGAGGGGGAGAGGAAGAGAGGGGGAGAGAGAGGGAGAGGGAGAAGAGGGAGAAGGAGTGGGAGAGAGGAAGAGAGGAGGGAGAGGGGGCAGAAAGGGAGAGAGAGAAACAGAGATGGGGAGAGAGTGGGGAGAGGAAGAGGGAAAGAGAGGGAGAGGGAGAGGAAGGGAGAGAGAGAGAGAGAGAGAGGTGTGTGTGTGCCTGGGCGTGGGGGGTGCCTGCGTCTTCCCAACCTCTGGAGATCGACTTTCAATCCATCTCCCTAAATGGCTTGTCCTCCAAGGATGCCAGGGGCTTTTAAGTAACCCGATCCGAGGAAACAAAACCATGGGGGGGGCGCGGGGAGGGGAGATGTAAAGTGGATGTTGTGATTTTGAAGCCCGGCATCTCCCTGGAACCAACGAAGGAACACGCCTGATAAGGTTTGAGTGGGAAGCTATTCTTAGAAAGATGCAGGCTAGGGAAGCCAAACTTCCATCCGCCTCTCCAAGGGAGGAGGATGGAGGAAGCACAAGGGAGGCGGGGAGGGGGCGGGAGGGGAGAGAGAGAGAGAGAGAGAGAGAGAGAGAGAGACATCTGACCTGATTTATGACAGGAGTGGGTGTTAGCACAACACCACAATCGGAACAGATTCTTTGGCCAAGAAGCAGTGGTGGATTACACTAACCTTTGCTACCGGTTCACGCCCACCCGGGCCACTGCATGCACAGAGCATTGTGAAGTTTCCGAAAGATGCCCTAATTAATTCGTGAGCCATGAGCCAAATTTCAAAAGAAATACAGTCATTTATTAGGAGCACCATTTCGGCAATATTCGGATGCAGGTAGAACTAATCCCACATAGATTTACGTTCCCCTATGACCCTCTCTCTCCCCCTCCTCCCTGGCCATGTCATAAATCACATTCTCCAATTAACCACTTTGGCTGGCTGCGAAATCCAACACCCTCCTTCTGATTGCGGTCAGGAAGAATGTATGGAATGCACTTCAGTTAGGGAAATCAATCAGCTCTATCAGTTCTCCCTCCCTCCTGCTCATGGCAACTTGAAAGCTTTGCAAGTTGACATTCGGCTCCCCTCACTTCCCGAGGGCGACCTGTACAAAGCAAAACAATTTGAGTACAGATGTAGAGTTTAGGGATGTGACACCCCCCCCCCCAAAAAAATCTGGCTTGTTTGGATTTTCCGCGTGAAACCTTTGTTAATGCCATTTAGGATTGCATTGGCTTTTTTGGCTGCCACCACACACTGCTGGCTCATATGAGAGCTTTGGAGATAGTCAACCTCCTGCTCTGGCAGGAAACCGTACATCATTTCAGACAAAGTCTTGCCCACATGGTCCATCATGCATTCCCCAATTGTTCTGGGGAAAAAAAGACCAGAAAACACAGCCTCATTTCTTCTGAATTAAACAGCAGATGCTCTGAATTTATTCCAGAAGAATGGAGGTTCTTGCCTGATACCTGGAGGGAAGCAAAGGAAGCAGCGCGAATCTAATAACCCATTTATTTCAATATTTTTATGCCGTTTTTCTCTTGAGAAGGGAACAAAACGAGCTACGTTTTCCTATCCTATTAGGATCACCTCCCACGCAGGTTAGCTGAGACGCGGGCCACGATGCAATTACTCACTTTCGGCTAAATGGCACTAGATTTCTGACTTTTAAGTGCGCGAGGTCTAATTCAACAGGGAACGTGGTATTCTTTCTGTTCCAGACAAATGTACAACTCCCAAAAAAATAATAATAAAAAATAGCATCTTGTTTCTCTGTCTGGGTAGTGATTGGCATCCAATGGAGTGCCAGGCTTTGAGAAAATAGATAGCCTTTTCTTGCACAGTTATAAATATAACTTACACGAAACATGCCCATTTTTTCAGCGGTTGCGGATCCAGAGACTTTTATAGCCACCTTGGTAGGATAAATCTGTTTATGTTTCTTCGGTAGCGTTTTCTTCCCGAAGCCAACAGTAACCCGATAAGCAAGAAGGAAAAAATAGAATCAAGGCTCCAGGGATGTAGCTGGAGGCAGAGGGTTAAAACTGGGCATTACTGCATTGGAAAAAAAATATTCCAAAAAACATAACGACCTCGAGAGATAGTCCTCTACTTACAACGAGAATTGGGAACAGCACCTTGCTGCAATGATCAAATATGCACAAAAGGTTGATCGGCATTATACTGAGATGGAGGAAAGAATCGTAATATTTGGTCAGGAGAACCTTAGGTCTAAATTCCAGCACCTGATGCTCTATGAGCCACGGTGGCGCAGTGGTTAGAGTGCAGTACTGCAGGCGACTTCTGCTGACTGCCGGCTGACTGCAATTTGGCAGTTCGAATCTCACCAGGCTCAAGGTTGACTCAGCCTCCCGTCCTTCCGAGGTGGGTAAAATGAGGACCCAGATTGTTGGGGGCAAATAGGCTGACTCTGTAAACTGCTTAGAGTGGGCTGGAAAGCACTGTTGAGCGGGATATAAGTCTATGTGCTAGTGCTATCCTATCACCCGTCTCCTCCCACTTACGACTGTGTGACTGTCACTTGTTGCTGTATCCTTACGATTTATACTGATTGTTTTCTAGTATGATTCAGTTGCTTATTTGTACCCTATGACTATTGTTAAGTGGTGTATCTTTTGATTCTTGATGAATGTATTTTATTCTCCTTATGTACACTAAGAGCACATGCACCAAAGGCAAATTCCTTATGTGTCCAATCACACTTGGCCAATAAAGAATTATATCTATCTATCTATCTATCTATCTATCTATCTATCTATCTATCTATCTATCATCTATCTATCTATCTATCATCTATCTATCTATCTATCTATCTATCATCTATCTATCATCCATCTATCATCTATCTCTATCTATCTATCTATCATCTATCTATCTATCTATCTATCATCTAACCATCTATCTATCATCCATCTATCTATCATCTATCTATCTATCTATCATCCATCTATCATCTATCTATCATCTATCTATTATCTATCTATCTATATCTATCTATCTATCTATCTATCATCTAACCATCTATCTATCATCCATCTATCTATCATCTATCTATCTATCTATCATCCATCTATCATCTATCTATCATCTATCTATCATCTATCTATCTATCATTCTATCTATCTATCATCCATCTATCATCTATCTATCATCTATCTATCTATCTATATCTCTATCTATCATCCATCTATCATCTATCTATCATCTATCTATCTATCTATCTATCTATCTATCTATCATCTAACCATCTATCTATCATCTATCTATCTATCTATCTATCTATCTATCTATCTATCTATCATCCATCAATCATCTATTTATCTATCTATCTATCTATCTATCTATCTATCTATCTATCATCCATCTATCATCTATCTATCATCTATCTATCATCTATCTATCTATCATCTATCTATCTGTCTATCATCCATCTATCATCTATCTATCTATCTATCTATCTATCTATCATCTATCTATCATCCATCTATCATCTATCATCCATCTATCATCTATCTATCTATCTATCTATCTATCTATCTATCTATCTATCTATCATCCATCTATCATCTATCTATCATCTATCTATCATCTATCTGTCTATCTCT